CGGTGTATGTGTGTGTATATATTTGTTGGTTGTTTGTGCATAGATGTATTGGTGTTTCATACACCAAGTCTCACTGAACGTATATGGGAACTTGGCGCATGTTGTGTTGCGCCAATTATATGTGCGTACACTCTGTACCTACCACATTCATATTCAGATGCTCTTTCGTGTTTATTCCGCGTGGATTCACCGGAGCGTGTATACGTCTGAGCTTGTATGGTCATACTCAATCAATAAAATTGATCTACACTGGTGTTGAGTCTGCACACGAATTCACGCCTAAATACAAATATAGCCAGGCCCAAACATCCACAGCCACATGCTCAAACAATCGATTTACATGCATATAATTTAATGCACCCGCCCTTGAATGTCTCTTTCTATACAGAAGCACACTGAAGTCACCACTGAACTGCAACGCCAGTTGGTGACTGTTGAGGACCGCATTAAAGTGGTCACCAGCGAGAAGTCTGCACTGGAAAATCGGTAGGAGCGATCACATGATAAGACGACAGGCATCATATCGGGCTGATACAAATTAATCTTACGTTATACTTGTATACTCAAATTTTTTTATGCAAGCGTGTCGAGATTGTTCATACTCAACATGGGCCAGATCTAATTGTAAGTGCAAGGTCTGTAGGTTAGCTGTTCAGATATCGCCACCAATAACAAAACATGTTCTCCCTACTTTTGGTAGGATCACCGAGCTGATGGAAGAATCCGCCAAGCACTCGGAGGTCAACGCGCAGCTGAACAATAATATCATCAACATCGAGCAGAAACTTGAACTGGCTGTGCAGGCGAAAGAAGGTATGCGTATGGGACTCATTGGTTCCATAAAAAACTATATTTTAGGCCCCAGATTTCACTGTAGACTGTATAGATCACATGTAGCAGTGAGGGTTTGGACCGAAATCAGACGTCTAAGTCTAAGATCTTGCCTATCACCAAGCTTTTCTTGCGATAGAAGATTCTTATGTACGATGTTTTCCACATTTTTAAAATACATTTTGTTATGACTAACGAATCAGATGTTCTCTATTGAACTTAACTTACCACACATCCGGGGCATTGTGCTTGTAGTATAATTCGCGCATTTATTAGCACCAAGTGCGTCTCAGATTAAACCTATAACTTCACTAACCCATCAACCACGCTGTACACAGAAACTGAGGGGACACTGAATGCCTTCCGAGAGGAACAACGGGTATGAGCGCTCACAGTCACATTGCACATCTGCGAGTTCATACACAACTCTGCGAGTGCAGCCTAGTCAAGTAGTAGACGAGTAACCGCCAGATCAAAGATGCATCGATAGGGCGACAAGTGTGTTGTGCTTAATACTACTGATTGCTATATCATGACAGTCATCGTCACGCACGTATCATTTGACACGTGTATTGAATTCTGAGCTCTTACATATCCATTTCAATATGAAAGTGCAGTGAGCGTTTTTGACAGCTAACAGCTCTGGCTTTACTCTCTACTTGTCAAAGGAAACGTAGTGCGTGACACGATACATGGCAGTGTGTATTGCAATGGGCGATGTTCACACATTTTACGTTTGTTTAATTGCAACATACACTGTAATGTAAGTTATCACGACGTGCAACATGATCAGTTGAAGTTGTCAACGAGCGGCTGCGAGAAACTTGAAAAGTACATGTAGATATCCCGCACCGTATTATTATTTTTTATAACTGACTGTATGCTTGAACTCTTACCGTGGCGTGTACCGTCTCACGCACTACACAGGTGGCCGTCGAGCAGCTCAACTCACAGATTGCCGAGTGCACGACTAAGCTCAGTGCATTGGAGGTGGAGAATATGGCTGTCCAGGTATGGCGTGAAGAGTATGTATGAATATGTACTGGTTGCGTGACCGCACATCGCATGACGAAACAGGTGGCGGAGAAAATGATTGAGATGGCCTGCCAGATGCATATACGCATGATCGCATATTTCTTTGTTGATACCATTGATTCTTAAGAGGAAAAACAACAAAACTATAGGTACTCCCATCATATTGCTGGTGTTGTCTGTGCGTCTTCTTTGAAAGTGATATCAGCCATCCAAGCTTACAGATTGAACAACTGCCTCATAATGCGGTAGAACAGCTAATTGTCCGATAACTCCATTGTACTATGGGTTACTTGTCGTCGGCTGCGGATTTTTTGCTTTGAAAACAACCCCTGACACACACATTCTGATTCACCCTTATGTATTCAATATTTTTCTTGTCGTATACATAAACGCAGGCTGAGCGCTCCGAGTTACAAGGCTGGAAAGAGACACAGTTGCTTTCCACCGCAGACGCGGCGACCGTGTTACTATCTCTAGGTCAGAAGTACGCGATGTTAAAGGCTGATAACACTCGCCTACTGGCAGACAATGCCCAATTGAACGAGGCTGTGACTGCGGATCAGGTGAGAATATATTAAATTGGACGCGGTGTGCTGTTTTCATAGTCAATTATAGATAATCTGATGTTGAAATGAATTTAGTTCGTTTTAAAGATCATACTTTTACCATATTTTACACAGTGGTATATACATTTTAGGGTTTAGTAAACACAGACTTTACCACGATCAATTTGGTTGAAAGTTGTTTTAGCCATATTGTACTGAAACCAGCCTAACACAATATATTTATAGGAACGCATTGGAGAATGCATCCGCACACGCAATTAAAAGTCCATAGTAAAATATCGATACATATTTTCATTTTGTGAAAGAAATTAGGTGACCGATGTGGAATCAAGACAGAGAACATTAAAGGCCTTTTGTGAGTGTATACTTGCTGTTGAAGCTTCCAACTTTGATGTAGTCTCAGAACCAACTAAAAACTAGATCATATACACAATCAACGCAACTTGTTATAGCTAAGCCATGTTTCAGTCTCACTTCTGTTTATCTACGTCTTCCCTGCCCCATCCACTATTTGCGTGTCCTTTCTTTACAACACCTTGAAGCAAAAACTACATATACTGGAGCATGCGAGTGAGCAGCATTTGAAGGCCCTCAATCTTCGGCTGGAAGCTATGGCGATAGTCGTCCAGCACGGGACACGACAGCAGCAAGACCTCACCCACGAGTTTGCCGGTATGGGCGAAGTACATGTATAAGCATGTGATAAGTGCGAGTATTGCCTCAGCTTTATGAGCTAGTATGTTAGATATAAAGGGCAAACTATCGTATTTATAGACTCTGTAGGTATGGCGTATTTCGAGGTGACATATCGGTTTAAATAATTTCATATCTGTCGTGACGGTAAGAATACTTCAGAAAACGGAATTGTAGATGTGAAGCATTTATTCGCCAGGGGTATACCATTAGCCAGTTGGACAAAAAATCGTGTGGCGTCGATAACAAGGGCTGCCCACAATTTGACATGCTGAACATTGTGTGCTTTGTAAGATATACGTCAAAGTATGGCTATTTATAGGGCGGACATTATTGTGCATGGATAACTGCGATACCGGCATACGACACCTTGTAACGAGGTCATTCCACCATACATGCCCCTTCATATCTCAACGTGTTTGTGGCTTCCTCCAGTTTACCTATCAACAACTAAATGCACATTTATATGAAAAAATATTCCCTAGAGGAACATGGTACCGTTGCTACTCTCAGAGCTCAACAGGTGGAGCATCAGGCTGCCGTAAGTGGCTTGGAGGCAGCTTTGGTTGATGCACAACAGGAACTGGAGCACGTACACTCTTGTCATCAAGATGCTGAATTGGCCTTAATTACTATGCGCGAGGAGAAACAATCTGTTGAGATCGATCTGGCAAACATCTCAAATGCTCGCGAGGTGTGTTGCTCTGTGTGCATTTAAGCGAGATTTTGTTATTTGAGGCTATGTAGACATATAGCTTGTAACTAGTAAGTGTTCACAAGTGTAAGTGAGTAAATAAATTTTGTATATTTATATCTAGATGTGTGGTTGTGCAACTGAGCTAGGCTGTAATCAGTGCCTTCATTCTGGCCGTAATCGCTTTCTTCGAGCGATATCCCTCATCGAAAAATCGATGAGCGACTACTGAAAGTATTGACCTACTTGTATGGTTTTTACTATTCTTTCCCCTGGTGCCCATTAAATTCTCCCTTACCGACATATGCACGAATATTGACCGTTTGTTCGGGTGATTTCACTTCGAAGTTGCAATACGCATATGTGAAATGTGAAGTAAGTGTGATGAGCGTATGATTCAGCACCCCGCGTAGGCATAGATGAGTATATA